TAAAATCCATTATCAGTGATATCATAAACGATCGTTCAGTGTAATTTATATGAGTTTGGAGTCGTGTGAGCACCTCCTCGCATAAGTTGCTGTAATTGTTGCACGAGAGCATTACGCTGACTATGATCACTTTTGTCCATGCTTTAGAACCAGCTGATTGTGATCTCTTACTGACGGCCAGTTACTACGGTAAACAGTTAACGTGCAAAACAGATGGAAGTCTGAACGATTCATTTACCGTCAGTTCAAGGCATCTACTGGATCCAACACGAGTAGTAAGCCCCGTTACAAGTCCTGTACAGTTTGTACCTCGTGCTTTGTATTGACCACGGTGCGCATAACGGCAAATCTGACCTATGTCAATGGGCGAGGACCACAAGAAGTTCTTTGTTGTGGTCAAAGGAGAAAAGAGTTCTGATTCTTGTGACTGGACTTCGGTTCCTGCCCCACTTCGGTCAGAGGTCCCTCTTTTGTCTTACATTGTAAGAAAAACAATGGAAGAGGGAGTAAGATGACATAAAGGAACGATGCCCATCAATTCTTATAGGATGAAACCAAGGGGGTAGGATGGGGCTAGCTCCAATAGCATCACGATGACAAATACATGGCATCGTAAGGAGTGTTGGGCACTCACATAGCAAGTAGTCTCCGAGTATAGTACGAAAATAGGACTCCTTGCACGGACAATCAAGTTTTAGTAAAGTTTCGTTCGTGTCTGAATTTTCCGATTCTATTCTCTTAGAGACAAGATCTACTTGATAAGTAGTTTGGTTCGAAATTTGCAATTTTATTTTTTTTTATCGGTGAGGTGGTATAAATTTTTTTGTAATTTGCTCAAAGGGCAGGTGCTCCGTATGAATGTGGTGTAGATGTCACAGACGATCATGATTCAGGTCTTCCATTTTCTTCAGTTTTTTTATTCGGGATATAAAGCGTGAGAGGAGTCCAGACGTGCCTCTGGAAACTGCCTTTAAGATGAAAAGTTTGTGGATGGCTGGATTAGACAACCACCATCTTCATATGTAGTCTCTAGGTTGTGGAAGTGTGGACATCTAATTGGTCCGACTTTTGCTCACAATTCTCACTAGAGCACACGAAGATCGACAGATGGAAAGTCTCTCTCACTGCAAGCCCACGTTGCGTCATGACTGCCTTTGACGGCGGAGTTTGGCGGTTGAGGACTTGGATGAATAGTTTTCCTCCCTTTGAACAGGAACAGCCACGATACTTCACTTGATTGAGAATGAATTTCACAGCGTCCGACAACTCCTTTGTTCATCATGTAGGACATTATATTAATGGACCCTTCGTTTCTTCATTAGTCGGAATTGGCTTCTACTCAAGAATCGAGGTTCGGACGTGAATCTGAACTTCACTTCTATTTCGATGCATTTTAGTTAAACTGCACGCGTTTAGGTATGACACGTTCCATCGATTTCCACAATTAACAAGACTAGCTCATTCATATCGACAACTTCTATAATCTGCTTATCATCACGACATGATGACATGATTCATGAAAGTTTATATAAAGAAACCACAAGACGAAGGAGACGTTTTCTCACTACTTGGTTTGAAAGGTATGCATTTAATCTGCATGTTATTTTCAAGTATGCATGTCATCTTCACCAAATGACGCCACACTATCTTTGTTCTTTCCACATGTCCAGTTGTCGTTGGGACCGTCAATTCGCGGTTGTTTGGACTGAATTTTGACCAACTTAGTCTGTCCCATTTTGTCCGACTGCTTATCCAGATAGCTTCAGACATTGAAAAGTGCAAAGCAGTTTCTGTAGGGCGTATGCAAGTTTCCAAACTTCGATCGTTGCAAAAGTGGATTTTGGAAGGAACTCATATGCAGCCTGAAGAAATTATTTTCACTATGGGATTGCCAGCCGTTTGTCCTGCACTCTTGTCTCATTGGGGAATACACAAGGGGTATTCGAGCAACTTAAATGGAGTGGTGTCATCTCTAAAGTACATGATAGTGTTCGTGTAATCTACAATGGCATCGATCTCAGAAGGGAATAAGAAGCAACATGCAAGCACTCATGAAGGTTCTCTCATGCCCTTGCTTGAACTTCTTGGAGTCTTCCCCATCTATTTTATTTTACTTTGTGCTTTCTTGCTCGGACTTGGAGAGCACATGATAAGGGATTGCTTCATCAAATCTTCTCAGCTTTTGAAACAGCAGTCACTCTCATCGTAGTAAGTATTTGATAGGTACACTCGAGCTGAAAAATGTGCGATGTGTACCTTGAAAGCTGGAATAGAAGGCTTCTGCAGTACAGATGCTTTAGATGAAAACAGAAGAAAAAGGCAAAAGCAGGGTCCAGCAATTCTCTCATTGCATTGGAATCCATCTTTTTATGCTGGGCAGTTTATTTACTCTGCTGTACCAAAAAGAGCAAATTAAATGCGAAAGTGTTAGCAAATGTTCCGCGAGGGTGGTCTTTCTGCCCCTCGCAGTAAGAGTGAATGACACATCTAGTGTGCTCACACGAGTGTACGCTTTACATGACATATGTGGACAGGTGGTGCGACTTGAAGTTCCTCGGGGTATAGCTCAGTGTCGAATGGTATTCTGCAGCTCCATTCACCAACTATCATCATTCAATAAAGGTGCAGATTTCTCCGTTTACCTTCCCGAATGTGCATCTGGTTCCCCTAACACTCATAACAGATTTGTATGTAATTCGTCAACTTTACATGCATTTTTACTTCGGACAAGCCTCCTCCATTCATAATTCCGATGAAACCTCATGATCCAAGGAGCGACAGCTAGCAGACGTGTATCCCCTGACACTTTGAGTCTTGTTGATGGAGGATTCTTTTTCTCTCTGTTCAGCATTTCTTGCCCAGTTACGAAACAGAGAATTTGAGGAATCAAACCTTCACAAAGCTTTTAGCATTACGTTGTACCCCCCTCGTCCAACTTTGACTTTATGAGAATGAAGAAAACAGTTGCACCTTCTCCCTTTAAAATGGTGCATGTCAGACATTTGGTCTTCTTCTTATGAGCGATGATAAGCTCGGTAGAACTCTAGGGGGTTGTTATTGGTGGATGAGTGAACGAATTCCTGTGGACCAGTATCGCTCATCTCGTCATCTTTTATGAAATGAACTCATAGATGTAAATCACTTCCTGCATGTATACCATCTAGAATCATCCATGCCGCTCGACAGTTCAGTTGGTGCATCTACACGAAATTTGACTGCAAGTTTAGACATCATTTCTCAATCTGAATCAAAAAGCATTGAAGGGTTCATCTGATTGCAAGAAGCTTATGGGTTCAGTCCTACTCGATGTATTTTCAGATTTCTTTTAATGCAAAGAATATTGCCAATGCTTTCATATTCCATCAAATTGTCATGAGACGTATGGAGAGGGTGAGATGTAGGTAGGCAGCAGTTGTATCATTGAGAAAGAATTTCCACGGATATCTTTCCAGATTAATAATTTTGGCAAACACGTGACGGCCTGAATTAAATCCTAAACCCATTCTTTGAGTCTTTCATCTTGCAACAAAGCCCTACTTAGATTTCAGGCATGATTTGCTTCAGAAATTCTGAGATCCTGTTGTATATCGTCATACCAACAGAATTTCAATGCAAAACTCACCTATAACCAAGTAATAAGGGTTTCTACCGTTTAAAATTATTAACGAGACAAATGCAATGTGACACATGAGCTACTCCGTTCCATCTCAACGACGAATGTGTAATATCAACAGCTAGATGGAAGAGAACTCAACACACAAAATGTGGGTATATGATTTAAGCCTCCAAGGTTTTTCTTGGAGCATACAAGTGAGACTTTGGTTAAAAAAAGAGAGAGGCAGTAAGGCCAATATTTTGTGATATTCTCTATACAATAGAATTTTATTTTCACGAAATATTGAATTCTGTTCTACGCTGAGAGATAAATAAGTTATATTTCAAGAATTTTCTTCAAGGACATGTCACGAATATAATTCATTGACACTTGTGTTTTTTAAACGACTTGCCGAAAGTCTGAACTTATTTTCCACACTCATCTATGAAGAGGATCATATTGTAAGGTCTCACCAGAGATTTTGGAAAAAACTGGTTTATAAATGTATGATTATAAATAATGGGACCATGATCTGTGAGGAGATTTGCTTGATCATTGTTAGTGAGGAGCCCAAGCCACTCGAATCCCAGTTGTACTCATATATGGTATCACACAAGTAAGTCCTATCATGATTTGACATAAAAGAATCCTACACCCACCAGCATTCATTCATACTCGATTGACCTCAATGATCCGCTCAGCTCCGGCGTCAAACGTTGACAATCGGATGCCTCTCATTCATCAGCGACAGTAGTTCCTAACACGTTCGAACAGTTCCTAATTGCAAACAACTCTGCAACTTTAATTCCACCTTGCTAATCGTTGAACCATGACGTCGACGGTGTAAATGAAGTTCAACTTGAGAAGGAAAGAAATACGCTTGACTTTACCACGTGAAGCTATGCGTGCCTGCATTGCATCCAATAATATATGCATACAAATATACGAGTTATTGTATTTCTGAAGGTCTTGTAGCATACGATATTTTATTTTGTATGGTCATGCTTTTGCACTGGAACTTTAGATTTAGCTAAATCTAAAGATTGAGTAGATTTTGATTTCGGATATGCCCCTCGAGGTGCGCAAGGGAAATGAACATTTCTTTGGTGGTCCGACCGAGATATTGACCCATACAAGTTTTTGAATGTAAAGGGCACGGACTTCAAGAGAAAGCAGTAAGTTGGGGTTCGATTACATCTTCTGGTCCTGACGACTGTAAGCCGAGTGCTGCAGTTGGAGTGAGGTGTCGCGTCTGCACTGACACTCTCACACGAGACCTCACTGCAACGGAGCACCGAGAAGTGCATTGAAGCGAGAGATCGAGCTAGGGAGGGAGTGCTCAAAGTGATCGGGGTGAGCCGATGATAAGTAAGCTAACAATGCAGGACCAAGGCAGGGTCCAGGTGACTTTGCCTAGAGCCTGCCTGCATGGAACATGGAGCTGCATGCTTTAAGAGTTGCGACATAAGCTATAAGCTCCATCGATTATCACCCACACGCGCTGCCTTACAGAAGCACATTGCATTAGTGGCAGCTGCAGGGAACATCATCACAGCAGCCAGCGAGCTAGCATGCCTGCCAGCATGTCCATTCAAGTATAACCCGGCTCTCAACACATCCCCGAGCCTTGCCACTCATTCATTCATTCATTCATATACACATCTCAACATCCTCTAGCTGCGCTCTACTCTCTCCCTCCTTCCTCTCCTCCTTAGCCCAATTTGTCCTGCCCCAAGGATTCTGCGAGTCCTCGTCTCAGCTAAGACTCCTCAAGAGGCAAAGGGACCGTCCCGAGTCCCGAGCATTGCAGCACCCGTCGCAGCTTTCCGAAGCTGACGGAGTGGCCCGGACGTATTCCTCCTGGTCCTAGAGTCGAATTTGCAGCTCCGGTCAGTCGATAGAAAGGGACCATCCGGGGGCCAGTTCAGATCTGAGATCTGCTGCTTGTTGAACTTCGTAATACGGTCATCAGGAACTAGCATGCATGTGTAGCAGTCGCCGGCCCTCGCTTGATCGGGACCGGGCTTTAAGTATCTGAGGCTCCCTCTTGCGAGCGGCAGAAAGGAAGTGCTTGCGTAGGAAAGCGGAATGGTACAGCCGCTGCTGCACGCATTTAGTGCGGGAGGCTGGTAGAGAGGCGGGGAGAGGGCGTACTGTTGACTGTCGCACCCTGAGAGATATTTCTGTCACCAGTCTCTCATCTTTAAGTCTTCCACTCTCATACGAATCAAAACGCAAAGCCGTCTGGCCGTCAGACGAAATTTCCCAAGCGGTGTGGAACACGGCTTCTCCAAACTGCGAAGAAGACTCCATCTCAGAAGCCTCGAACGTTATATCATTGTCGTTCGTGTGGGCGCAGGGACGAGGAGGAAGGAGGGAAGGAGAGGGCTGGAGTGAGTGAGTGAGTGAGTGAGTGAGTGAGCGAGTGAGTGAGTGGGGGAGGGAGCGAGCTAGCGAGTAAGAAGTAGAAGTACGTACACTGGTCTGCCCAACAGTCTTCTTCGAGCTCGGCCGGTTGTGGTACGTCCCTAGATCGCACAGAATTGTACAGGAAGAGGCTGGACTGCCGGACCAGGAACGAAAAGTAAAATGTGTGCAGCTGGGAGCAGCAGCGCCGCATGCACAGATTTGTTGCACATTGAGACCATCCGCTGATCTGAACTAGGAATCGGTCGTGACCGAGCTCGAGCTGACGACGAGGAGGAGGGGCAAGATTTGGCGACTCCTCTACCTTTTGACAGTTAGACCTCGTGCCTAGGCCGAGCTCAGAAGGCATTGTTTGCTCGGTTGCTGCTGGCGGTGCTGGACAGATTCCAGCAGCAAAATGTCGTCGCGTGGATCGTCCCTCCCTGAGCTCCCGGGCGATAAGGACTCGTCCCATATATCGCATTCGGGCAAATTGAGCCCTCTGAGCGAGACTCTGTGGAGGAACAACCTAAAGGTTGTTGACACTCCGGATTTGGATCCCTCTGCTAGGCTCACTTGGAAGGATTTGTGGGTCACAGTTACCACTCCCAAAGGAGAAACGCAGAGGCTCCTGCACGGGCTCACAGGATATGCGGAGCCCGGTGCCATCATGGCTATCATGGGCCCGTCTGGGTCTGGCAAGTCCACTCTTCTCGACTCCCTCGCAGGTACCTCTCACTTCTGCGTTGGTGAACTTCGTACAGTCGGTCGAGCGCAGCAGACGTCTCAATGCTCTGGTTTTTGCTTCAAATTCCACTCGTTCTTTGATCCATTTCGAGGATGGTCGTTCTGATCCACTTAAAATCGTCGTTGGCTTCAGGTCGTTTGGCGAAGAACGCCACTCTTACCGGAGACATTCTGATAAATGGTCGCCGCAAAACTCTGACCTACGGGAGTGCGGTATGCCTCGTCACTAGCCCTGAATACGTAGCGTCGTCGATGAGAGTTAGTGTTTCCCCACACGTGACTGTGGGCACATTGAGTCGAACGAGTATGGAGCATGTTGGTGACGAGTCAAAGAACGAAGCTGCAGAGCTCAGCTGCCAGTTCCAGTCCATCGTCTTCCTTTGCGAGGAAGGCCTCCCTCACTCAATGCCATCTATGTGTTTGTCTGTGTGGTGTTCTGGCAGGCCTACGTGACGCAGCAAGATGACTTGATCGGAACCTTGACGGTCAGGGAATCTGTCCACTACTCGGCCAACCTTCGGCTGCCGAGGAACATGAAAAGTGCAGAGAGGAGAGCAATCGTCGAGAGTACCATTGTGGAAATGGGATTACAGGACTGCGCAGACACACCAGTGGGGAACTGGCATCTTCGGGGCTTAAGCGGAGGCGAGAAGCGGCGTGTCAGCATCGCACTGGAGATCCTCACCCGACCTCGAGTGCTGTTTCTGGACGAGCCGACGAGTGGACTCGACAGGTCCGACTCTGATGCCATTTCCTGACATTTATTAAGTTCTTTTCTGTAGCAGCAGCATGAACTGCGTGTTTGGGCTAGTCAAAGTTTCTCTTCAAGCTCGCGAAGTGATTGCACTCATTGTGGTGAAACATGCTTGTGCCGAGCAGTGCTTCAGCATTTTTCGTCGTCACAACCCTGAGGAACCTGGCTCGTGATGGGCGCACCGTTATAGCATCCATTCACCAGCCGAGCAGCGAAGTTTTTGAGCTGTTTGACAATCTGTGTCTTCTTTCGAATGGGAAGACTGTATACTTCGGTGAAGCTCACTCTGCTCACGAGGTACAGGCCTGCAACATTCTCAATTCTGCTTTCTCTTGCTGCGTTCATACTGTTCCTCGTGACTCATATTCTATTGCGGGCAGCAGAGCTCCGGCACTCACTGAATGGCTGTCATTGACCGCAGTTCTTCTGCTCAGCTGGATTTCCTTGCCCACCACTGAGGAATCCGTCGGACCATTTCCTCCGAGCGATCAATGCAGATTTTGATCGAGTGAAGAACACGGTCAAAGGATCGTTCAAACTCAGGGTAAGCTGGACTGTCAGTTTGAAGTCTTCTGGAGTCGTGACTTATCCACCGGAGCTGCCGTCCTAGATTTATTGAAACAAATCTGAGGATTATTATTCTATTTAGTCAAAAGTTTGTTTGTCTTTGACTGGAGTTGACCGACAGCAGTCTCGATCTGTCTGTTTCGATCACCCGCAGCATGACGTCGAGTCATCGCAAGATCCGCTGGAGAGGATGAGCACCCACCAAGTCGTGCAGATCCTCGTCGATGCCTACCAACAATCGGAGTTCGCCATGCAGGCTGTTGCGCGAGTCCACGAGATCTCGCAAGTGGTAAGCTCTCGGTCCGTGACTGCGATATTGCGCTCACTAGAACTGAGTTCACTTCTTCCTGGATCGACGTCACCATGTCACCCCTCAACCTCATGTCCGTCTCGTGGTCTCGAATGGTGTGCAGAAAGGGACGGTGCTGGAATCGGCGGGAAGCTTGGCCGGCTTTTGGATGCAAGCCTGGACCTTGACAAGGCGATCGTTTGTAAATATGTCCCGAGACATGGGCTACTACTGGCTGCGGCTCGTCATCTACATTGTCCTCACACTCTGCATTGGAACTATTTTCCTTAATGTTGGACACACGTACACCTCCATCATGGTAATCGGCTGCCGTATTTGAGTTTGATCAATTTGTGACGATCCACTGCAATGGGTCTTAGTGCATTCAATTGTGTGCATTGTTAATATTCTGTCATGAATTGCAACTCTTGTGCTGATCCAGATGTCTGGCTTCTTCTCTGCAGGGGAGGGCAGGTTGTATGTCCTACGTCGCAGGGTTCCTGACTTTCATGTCGATCGGAGGATTCCCCTCATTCGTGGAGGACATGAAGGTTTGTGAGCTCGCATTCTATGTAATATTCGATGTACGATGTGATCGTTTCGTGAATTACGAGGAGCAAATGGGAGGTTTACATCGTGATCGCTGTGTCGATGTGCAGGTGTTCTGTCGAGAGAGGCTGAACGGGCATTACGGAGTGGCGGCGTTTGTGATAGGGAACACGCTGTCGTCGATTCCCTTTCTGTTTCTGATTTCGATCATCTCGGCCTCGATCGTCTACTTCATGGTGGGCCTGCACCCGGGACTGGAGCACTTCATGTTCTTCGTTCTCACTCTCTTCGTGTGTGTCACGTGCGTCGAGAGTCTTATGATGGCGGTCGCCAGCGTCGTTCCCAACTTCCTGATGGGCATCATCACTGGAGCCGGAATTCAGGTTTGCTTTCGACGCGCCCCACCCAATCCAGTTCCCTGCTGCGCATTTCTCGCATGCAAACTAGACAACTTGATGCATCCGTACTGAAGCCCCACTGATTATTTCCGACACTGTCAAAATGGGGGTGCTCTTTTTCAGGGTGTATTTATGCTCGTGGCTGGATTCTTTCGTCTCCCATTCGACCTTCCAAAACCTTTCTGGCGCTATCCCATGTCTTATCTCAGCTTTCACATGTACGCGCTTCAGGTAAGATACAGCTATCCCGTTTGGTCATTAGTTACTGATTAGTGTTAAATCAGCAGTGAGCCGTGTTGCCATTCTCGAGGAGAAATCCTAAAATTAACTTCTAAATCACCGAAGCAGCTAACTGGGTGAGCTTGGCTGATACAGGGAATGTACCAGAATGATTTTCTGGGATTGGAGTTTACGAACATCGAGATCAACGGGGTGATTCTGGGGTCGCCGATCAAGGGAGTCGACATTCTGCGTAACAGCTATCAGATCGATCTGGGCAGGACCAAGTGGGAAAATTTGGGGATTATTCTCATCATGGTCATATTCTACCGCCTGCTCTTCTTCCTCATGATCAAGTTCTCCGAGGACGTGCAGCCCTTCATCCGGGTGCTCATCGGGAGGTACTCGTTCCACCGACACGCGAGCCGGATCAGCCGCCAGCAGTCGGCAGTCCAAATGCAGAACTCTAACACCGTCCGGCCCGTGCAGTCATCGCCATCTCCGGCGCACGAGCATGCTCCCCTGCAGCAAAACCGACACTTCTGGGCTCCGACACCCTCTCCCCAAAATCCCTACGTCCCGCCCAGAATGATCCACCGTTAAATTGGGCTCTCGAGCTCGAGCCATCTCGAGCTGCTCTCTTATTATTTACACCAACTCAACGCAACCTTACATCCATTGCCGCCGTGACATCCACTGTATCTGCTGCATAGATACTTCCATCCTGGAAATCGTGAAGAGAGTGCTTCTCTTTATTGCTGTAATTATCCAGCCTCCACCAGCCAGCCAGGCAGCAAAGCGACTCGAGAACTCACGAGCGCAACGACAGATAGATGTCGTCTACACTTGTGATATATTATTCTTCTCTTTGGGCCGGAAAGAAAGAGGACCGGACTTTCATCGGCAAGTGACCGATGGTGTCTATATCTCCATTCGCGCGTGGCTCAACTCTCCAATAGACTTCTGTAATTTTACGACGATATCAATGACGTTGGTCGATCTTCTCGAGGTCGAAATCTATCTTCTACATTTGTAGTCGTAGTAATAGTAGTAGTAGTAGTAGCAGCAGTAGTAGAAGTGTTGCTGAGTGATTAGTGTGAAGCTCCCTAGCCTTACTTGAATTGCCACCCTCGCTGGCAGAGCATAGCTAAGAGTGACCGCGGGCGGCAGCGTCAGGATCGCAGTGATTCCTCGTTACGTAGCTTCATAGTAGCATCTTCTTCGTAGCCAACTCTACCGTAGCTTTTCTGCTGTTGCGCATTTCTTTCAATCTAGCTAGTTAGTAGAGGATGCGGACCTTAGACAGTGGCAATGGCAAGCGAAGCTTGCTGAAGCCTTGGGAGGGAACGGGGAGTGAGTGGGAAGGAGTGCGAGAGGAAAAATGGGAGGGGAGGGGACGGGGACCGGGCTCTGTGAGAAACGCTTGGGAAGCTCTGCCGTTAAAGGTGACTGCGCAAGTACACAGAGCACGGGAGTTCATTGACTGACCGACCGAATGGGATTCGATGTAACGCCGTTCAAAGAGATCTGTATCTTCATGGTGATGGATTTAGAGAACTCTTGTATGTAACGTTTGGATGATAAGCAAGTCCTCTCCCGAGGCAGTGGTTTTCGTTTTGTCACTATTGGGAATCTCAAAAATATCTGGATGATTGTTTGGTACCTTTTATCCCACCACCTGTCACCCTCACTCATATCCTCAACGAGATCTCAACTGAATTTGAATGATTAGCCTCGGAGCAATGTTCATGCTTTTCCAGCTATGGTCACGGTCATCAGGAGGGTCCGGGCCGGAGATCACGGGGCCACGGTTCTTACTGGAGTGGGTCGTCAACGAGATCAATTAGCTGGAATCGTGTGCAACCGATGATCCCGGACAATGGTTCTTTCTCGGTCTGTTCGGAGCAGGCGATTTCAACATGTCACCTGAAGTCATCTGAGACGACAAGGTGGGAGAATTAAATCTGTGTCGAGTGGAATCTTTGCCGTGTGGTGGGACGGATGGAGGAAACAAACACACGGACCGGGAAGAATCCGGTCGCAGTTTTACGTGAAGAATCTTTCACCGACGAGGAACACTCTCTCTCTTTCTATCTCTCGTCTTGAAGAGGCGCATAAAGGCTGTCACCAGTCAGCCGTACGCTACGGATCGAAAAGCAACGGAAACCGTCCGAGGATTGCTGAATTATTGCTGGCGTATGAAGCACTGTGACTGCCGTTTGAAAGGGAGGTGAGGGGAGGGGATGTGGGAGGGCGCAGCAGCTGCATCTGGACGAGGAGAAAGGTAATGATACGTCCGATTGCTCACTAGAGACTCCCGAGTCGCGTCCCACCTTTCACTCGAATCAGTTGACGCGACCGGGGGAACAGATAACTTGTCAAAGATTGCGCTGGTACTGTGGGTTCAGACTTGCTCGTGACACGCACGTGGATCCGATCCGTTGGAACTCACCGAGTCCCTGAAGCACGGTCGCCCCGCCTTCATGGCGGCCATGCATCATGCACAGCCCACAGCAGAAGCAGATGATACCTGCCTGCTCTCATGGCATCCATGATAATCGACCGCCGATTCCACGAGTCCGCATGATGCCAGCAAGTGTGAGCCGCCTCGCTCATGGATGCACGCAACCCTCAGCTCCGGTTGCAGGCAGCACCAGGTGAGCCCCAGAGCGCCAAACGAGCTTTACGAGCGGATTGATCTGCATGATTGCTGTGAGCCCTCCGCAGCTGCGCACTGTTGGAGGAAGATCCGGGACTTTGAGAATTGATTGAGCCATGGGAATGACATCCCGGGGAACTTACAAGAAGCACCGTCACCGCGTCCACGGCTCCATGTCGCGGTGGGGCTGGGCGACTGCCATACTGTTGTGGACTTACGAGGAAGGGACGGGGAGGGGGGAGCGGGGGGGCGCAATTTAGGAGTAAAGTATGTAAAAGCTACAGCGACCTGAGCTTGAGAGAGTACTTAAGGAGAGGGCGGGACATGCTTAGAGGATTCTTAATGGAACTTGTCGTATGCAGTCTGACATGCATCAGCTGCTGCCGCGACAGAAGACTCAGAAACGATTGAAAAGGCAGTGGAGTGACGAGAAGTCTTGTGCTGTAGCATGCAATCGCTTCAAGGACCCGAGAGAGTCTGGAGGAGTTTCAGACCGAAGTTGATGTGATCGTGAGAACTGCGGAGTGCAGGACGCATTGATTCGGTGCGGCCTTTGCATTTATGGCCGTCCTGGTTGGTTGCAACGGGTGTCACCCTCACTCCGGATCGCTCAGAATCTTCAGATCCAGCCCAACGGTGCCATAAATGTTGCAACCACATCAACAACAACCACGTTATCATCGAATGTCACATCTTGCCCTTCTTTTGACAAAGTTCTCACTTTCTGCCTGTGGTTCACTCCCGAAAGTGCCCTCCGCCTGCACGGCTCCTCGTCTCTCGTTACACTTTTTCCTTCCGGAGAGCAGTTGCCATAACTCAATCCGGGCTCTTTGTCTTGCTCGGTGTCCTCAGCTGTCCGAGACATGGACAAGAAAACGTCAATCCCCTCGGTCAAATCAGTTATGCGGGTTGGACATGGAGGTTAGTTCCTTCGAAACCAGATGAGTTTTGTCCTGATCATAATTCTGATCTCCTAACATTCCGGATTAGGACTAATTCCTTGAAGAAGTTTTGTCTTACCTCCATTTGAAGCATAAAAACATCAGCTCCTGGGATCGCGTGTTCTACTCTTCATTGTTCCCTGAATCGTTGCCGAAAAGTGGAACCATGGAGTTGTCTTTTCTGTTTACCAGCCCCCAGTTTGATGATTGTGAATCCAATGAGAAGACTTGCTCGGCGGCCCCACGACCGTCGAGTCCATCGGTCCATCTAACATACATAACTGCCACATAACTTCAGAGCAGTGAAGCTACTAAATACGTACATATTCGGAAGAATATATCTGAGGAGATGAAGATGCTTTCCTCCCAATTGCGTCTATCCCTTCAACAATCCATAAACGTAGATTCGTGAACATTTGGTGCCAGTTATAACACACAGCTGTACCAAGTACGAGCTTCAGGGCCTAAACCAGACTATATTCTAGCAAGTTCCTGAACTGAGAAATCACTGATCGAATAAATGAATGCAGCCGTTTCTTCCGCAGCCAATAGTCGACCATTTTCCTATCGCTGGAGGAGTACAACTGCGCTTCCAGAGGTTACAGGATTTCTTGGTCCTGTATAAGTACAGGAACTGACTTGACTTTCCAGGAGAAGAAGGACCATCATACGATGAGAATGCTAGGCTCGAGTGGAACGTGGGGCTTGCCACCCGTGAGAGTTGACTGAGTGATCGTGTCGGGCAATTTGGGTCGTATACAGTGGCAGTAAATGCTTCATCCGTGATGCCCTACTCATGGGATACCACGTCGATGGAGCTCTTCCCTGCTTTGAATGGAGGTTTGTGCAGGTTGGGGCTATGCAAAGCCCAGCCCTACATCAAGGAGTCCAAGAGATTGTAAAGTAAAGGAAATGGTCGAGGTGTAATCATTTCACGAGAGTTCAATCAAAGTGCATTAGAAAAGCAAAACGGTGAGGAAACCCGAGGCCGGGCGACAGGCGAGAGAAAGTCCACAATAGAGAATAGGAACTACCGAAAAGCCCATGATCTTTCAATGTCTGCCTGCAAAATGATCAGCTTTTGCATGCAGGATTCTCGTAGCCATCGTCAATTTGGTTCTCTTCGGTTAACTAGCAAACTGCAAGAAGCTTCCCACTCGCTCACACTCATGTATGGGGAATAAGAGTTTACCTAAGTGGACAAGTGGGGTCTTAACATATGAGGCAAGTAGAAATTCGTGCATTTAATTATAATAGACCATGAATGACCCTGTCAAGTGGCTGGTGGAGGGCCATGTATCTCCTGAAATCCATGTCTCGAGTCTGTAATCTTACACGTACAGTGGACGAGGTTGAGGATAGGAGATGGAATGGCTTAATCTGCAAATGCGATGCGATGCAATGCACCTTGTTGGATATGGATGCAAGTGGAGGTTGACAGCCCCGGATATGCTTCAGAAATGTAATCTTCGCTGGAATGACTACATGGTATTCGCACTTTGTAAGATATTTTTCAGTGGCCACGATACTTTCTCGTGTGGACTGTAGCTTCTATTCCCCAAAAACGTAACTGCGCCTCTGAATCCTTTGACCTCGAAGCCTCGGAGAGCCCTCCATCTCCGTACTTCTACACCTTTCGTCTCGTTATCCAGCATGCTTCGTAATTACTCGTAGCTGGAACCCAAGAGTAGAGACATTCAGCTTGCACAGTTGTTGAACGGAGCTGTTTTAGTGCTGTTGGGGCCGAACCACTCCCTGTCTTAGTCCACGGTCAAGCCCATATATGAATAATAAATAAACCTCCGTATGTTCTCAAGAACCTTCCACAGGACCAGGTCTGCAGATCCAGGACGCGCAAGCTGTATGTACAGTATCTGTAGAACCAAGGAGAAGAACAAGCAGCACATGCGCTCTGATTGAGTTTCGTTGTTCGGATACGTTTATGCCGGGCTTTGTGAAGGTTGTGGATTTCACAACCGAGACCTCCACTTCCAACAGAGGTCTACGGCTGTCGAACCAAAGTTTGACCTTGAGAGGATAAAGGAGCTACTATTTGTCTGACCAACGTGTCTTGTGCCACGAGATCCGCTTAATCCAGGTTTTGTTTTTCTCCATGTCACTTCATAACATCATCATAGAAGGTCATGGTTGTAATAACCACTCCGGCATGCACTCTCGCTCTTCTTTCAACGGACGGGCATGATAGATCTGCCTGCTCCAACGGGACGAATGAAAATATATAAATACCCTCCTTTTCAATATTTTACTCGAAGCAGTTCTCACTAGTTCACCGTGTCAAGAAGCCTTAGCGCCATACCGTTGTTTTTTGTTACTTTGTAAAACCTTGAAAAGTTGTGCACATGGTGCCGAAAAGCGCTGCTCTTACTGCGTGGTGTTCGCCACTGGAAAGAGAGAAGGGAAAAGAGGGGAATGATTTATTTTTCTCCGGGTCCATAGTGGCTTTCATCGAGAGAACGCCATCCATGTTCATGCAAGAGGCGTGAAATTGCAGATTGTTTGTTGTTCAGATATCGTAATCCTGCTCGACTTCGATACAACAGAAACATGGGCGTTTTCACGCAAAGATCTTCTGACATTCTCTCATCCAAAGATCCGACGAGATGCCTGGAACGTTCAAAGCTCATGTCAGAAATCATCAATTCAGTTTACATGGCCTATGGTCCCCGACGAACACTGCATGAAACATTCGAAAACCTTTGCGGTTTTGGAAACACATATGTTGTAACAGACGGTAGATCATGATATCTTTCTCAATTAAAAAGATGAAGATATCGTGTCTATACACTCAAATCCCATTATGAAGTTTGTAGTAATGTGTGGTAGGTTCACACTCATAAAATGAAACCATCTGCTTTCTATATTCAAGACATCACATTCACTAAAGGTTGAGGTTTCCAACTTCGGCAAGGTTTAAAAAGTTGATAACCTTTCAGGATACGATAGTAGATTTTCCGCAAGGATTGACTGCTAGATTTGCTCATGAGAAGTCTGACATGTTCAAAGAAAAGGTAAACTCCTCGATTATTTAATTCAGTTTGAACAACTTTCTTTTATCATCTTAGCCTGTTTCAAACATATTCATTATCTACTTTTTTATTACTCGTGACTGAGAAGGAAACAAGAGTCTCGCTGACTTGTGGAATAGGAAGACTGATGAAAAACCCATGAGTATACGCTTTCTTCTTCACATTTATTCATGTGGACCAAGATAAACTTATAAGATAAGCTCTTGGCCCTGCTTCTACTTGTGACCTTCCGGATATCCGTAGTGTAGCATTTTTCTTCAAGTATAGATTTAAGGTCATACTCCCAGCCGCTTGAATTAGAGAAGCAGATACAGAAGATACAGAAGCAACTTTACTTCTGTATCTTCCTAGAACGATATTCTTCTCAAAGACAAAACTGGAATATTGAAGTAATCGCTGTCTCCTGTGTAATGCTAAATTCTTTCAACGAAGTAGAGCTGCCCAAAAACATTACAGTACGATGCCACATTTAACACATGGGAATTAAACGCTTCGGACTGTTTGAGATATTTGAAACTTGAGACGTGAGACCTATAAGTCTTCGATTCCATCTATTCATGACAAACTTCTAATGTATGCTCCTGTGCAAATCTACAGTGAGGGCTTGTTATGATAACACCCTCATTACAAGCTCTTTCTTTAAGAAATGAATATCTTGTTCTTCGTGAAGTCAGATCTATGTAGTCGTTTATCAATTGTAGCACTTTCGAAGACCTGGAGAAAAATGGAGTTCGAGTAAATGCATTTACTTGTGTCCCGAATATAGAATCTTGTATGCTGTTTCAATTCTGAGTGTTACATAACTTACAAGTAAGAGAATTGTTATAACTTATGACGTGATATTTCAAGCATCAGTTTACATCCTAGAGTTGCTTAGTGCGTTTCATGATGTACAGGTAGAAATTAATGGCGGTACACAACTTAGTCGTAAGTTATAACAGAGATCACTGGAGTTTTTTAGTTACTTTTTTACTCACTTCTGGTCCTTTCCCTACTATAATTTGAAAAATACTGAAAGTCCTATTTTTTATGGCTTTATTTTCTGTAACAAACCCAAGTTACGGAAATAGAGAAGTTTTTAGAATGATAAAGTTTCAAACATTACGTACCTAGGGAGATGCTATTCCATTTTACTACTTTGTATGAAGTACCAAAGATGTGAATGTCACTTTTAAAACAAATTACTAGAAAAACCTTTCATCATCAAGTTACTTAAAGCTGGAGGGAAAAAACCAATACCCACCTAAATTTCTGTTTACGATGTCATTTTACACGTTGATATATCTGCCTCTTATTTCCAGAACTTTGATATTTCTGTTTAACACGGGATGAGAACGTTAAAACCGAAAACAATCAAGTATAACTTACGGTGTAGCCAAGGGTACGCAGTGTCACTAGAGGTTAGTGTAGTACACCCGGTGCAGTTGCTCACCCGGTGCTAGGTGGCACACTGCGCCTCTCTGTAGGAAAGTGTGCGCCAAGTGTAGACGTCACGTGGTAGAGTTACCCAAACCAGTCACGGTGAGTGTCTTCGTACGACGCGGATAGTACATATTATGTAAAAGGTGCATTACTTCTTTCGAAAGTATTTCAGAGTTTATTATACATTGAGCACTGACAGTTAATTGGTCACCGATGACTGTACACATGTAAATATGGTAAGGACTCCTTGGTGATACGACGGGCATTATGTAGCTAATGTTCACGTCTTCCACTTGCTAAATGCTGCATTTGATCCACTCGTGCTTCATTCGTGATTTTGTACACCGGTGCTATGATGATTCATAATCGAGTGGTACAGAAGAAGGCTTAATGGACGAATGATATGCATAAAAAAAGACCGGAGCAAAATGTACACGCGTAAGCCTTGTGTACTTGAGCTTCAAACCAATCTTCAATGAATGTTTATTTGTTACGATGCCTTTCTCCACGATAAGTTGTGCTTATGGTTGAAGAAGTCGTGGCAACACACTCTTGGTCTAAGAATGAACTCTCGGATCGCAATCTGAACATGAAATAGTTTACGTCTGAGTCAAACGCATTTATAGTTGGGTCTTGTTGTTCATATGGAAGCATATGAGAAATTTTCCATCGGTCTTGCATGCGAGAGTGTGCTTGTTAAATACTGCTTTTCAGATACAGTACATCTAATGACAGATTTTTCCTCGCATTTATTCTTTAGTTTGTCTGTAACACTAGCTCTAGCCTGTAATTTACATCCTTTCGTTTGATGTGTTATAATATTCCTATAGGACATGAGGAAGTCAACAGCTATTTTTTGTCGAGTAGTATATATGTGAGGTGAAGAATATGTGGATACACAGTACGCGCACTCTAATTGTGGCCAGCAAAGTCTTGTAGGGCCTCCGAGTTGACGATTTGTTCCTCTTATAGTTACATATGCGCTGTATGTCATCACTACTATCCATAGGAGCAAGGTGAACTAGCACAACATCTCCAAATTGGCAGAAATGTGGGACCATTAGTTTTTTCATGTCATTTTCCTCTTTTGTGTCAGAAATTTGTGGACGTTTTCAAAAGTTTTGTTCAACCCCTCCTTATGCTTGATATTTTTCAAAGAATCAATTTCTGCTCATTCATCAAGTAAAATATTAAAATTATAGCAAACTTGTTTCAGAAGTTATGTATATAAGTCAATCATCATGACAAACATCAAAGTCATACCAAAGTTTAGAGAATATACATCGTAATAAAAAAATCATTAAAAACCTACAAAGATAAATTTATCACAAAAATCTCTTTAAGTTTGAAAATTGATATCTCTCATCATAAACATAACATCAAAAAGTTTGACATGAATACAACATACTTTTTTCTTTCATACTAAATTAATTATTTGCTACTATATGTCATAGCCACCCTCTTAAAATTTTAACTTTCAAAATTTAACATCAGGTAATACTAACTTAAACTTCACCCTGGCTCTAGCATATGTATGTGTATTTCATTCATCATCAGAAAAGGATTATGTAAGTTGTAGCAAATACTGTGAAAATATACTTTATATCACATTAGTCATGGAGACTAATTTGATATGATAGTCAAACATTATAGATAAATTTCTTATAAATTATGATCTTTATGTTGATGTCTCCAAATGATACAAATAACACTGTCTCAAATCTGCTTTATATCAGCTATTTAATATATAATATATTCAATACCTCAGTCAATCATGCAGTGTAAACGCAAACAATATAACATAGTCCATACAACACTACTTGATTCATCTCTTCATGCTAGCTTCCTTGAATATACGATACTAAATTAATTCTAAATTAGAATTAATTTAGAATTTAAACTAATTCTAAACTTTGTCTCTCTTATAAATATGGTTTGTAAAATTTGGATTGATTCATATAAAGGTTATTTCAAATGTTTTACATAGACCATCATGAATCTAGAAATGTTATGTTTATTCAAATATATATACATCATACATCCATAGCCAGTGATCTGTCAGCTTTGGACACGCCGAGCCAATGTCATTGATCAGATTTGCTTGACGGCGTAGGTGCACAACCCATCGGTTCGTTCCCTTGAGGAATTGTACATCGTCAATCATGGCAAACCCTGCTTTCAGGATGAGATCCATCTGGTGCGCATGACACCAGAAGCACAAGACATCATTCAACGTTTGCTGCTCGAGCAGAGTGATTACTCCATCGCCACAGCCTATCATGATGTTCTCGACATCCAAAGAGAGGTCGACAAGCTTATCGCACCAGTCGAAATTGATAACGTCTATGAACTTTGTGATCAGATTGACTTGGTTAACGGCGGTCTGCCGGTCGAACATGGGAATGGCCAGAAAATGCAGGATGAGGACATCCACCGCCAGACGCAGACGTTGATCCATGAATGAAATACCCATGTGAGTGCTCGCGTCACACGCAAACGAGAATATCCACAAAGACAAATTTTCCATCAAATAGCTGATTTGTTGTATGGCAACCGCAACGAGAATACGGATGTAGCCGCTCACCAAAGCATCAATCACCCAAGTTAATTTCACGTTCTTGATGAGATTTTGGTGTTGTTGAATGACGGTGGCGGTCTGCCTGAACGACAATCCGGATGACGTGTGCTGAATCGCAAGCTGATACCTATGATCTTGATCGTGACGTTGTAGCTGCCGTACTCTTGACGCCAAAGTAGCTGCAACACTATCTCGGCCAAGATCATTTCATCCTCGGAGTTGAAGACTAACTCGCCAATCAAAACTTTGACAATGGACACACTTATGATGAATATCAGTGTGGAGCTCGTGTCGTCAAAGAAGTAGAACAAGGTGTCCTTGAACTCCTGCCGCTTGTTGAAGAACACTTTCTTGTCCTCGAACGATATCGCTTTGTACTCGATCCACTTGTCCTTGCGGATCTCTTTGTGATGGAGTTGATAGTTGTCTGTTTGGTAAGGTGGTGCAAAGAGTTTAATGTTATGGATACGCTTGCGTTTGGCACCAGGAACTTGCTCCCTGCCATAGAAACGGCAGAATTTGCACTGAACACTATCAACAACACTGTTCGCGTCTCGGCACACCACCTTGAGGTCATACTCAACTTCATGCTTTGCTTGAAAGAGCGTGTCGCGAGCTTTCGAGTTCGCCATCACCTTGCTGACTGACACCACCATTGTCGCGAAGTGACTTGTGTGTGAATTCAACTTCGCCAAAGCATGTTTACACTTTACACTTTACAACATAAACTCTACACTCACTAATTTTTCCTGTTTTATTTTTCCTGTTTTATTGTGAGGGTGTGGCGTCCCCCACACCCTCACATTCGACATTTTTGGCATTTAAGGGAGCGTTTGCCGAATTTAAAGAGTTCTATTGAATATACTAAAATGTTGAAATGAGGATACTCAATAAATGCCATCAACATATGTCGTTTTTCATTATGGTGTACATTCATATTAAGTCAAAAACTTGACTAACTCTTCTTTATAATGAACAACAAACATATATCCTACCCATATGCAAGTTTGTTTCATTTGACATGTATCTTGTTATTTTGCTCATACCCAAAGCAATATCAGTTCTTGTGAATAACATCAAATATATGAGGATGTTCACAACTTTGTTACAACAAATTTTTGACATAATTTTCTTTTCAATTATATCAATTGGACATTTAACTACAAAAGTTTGAAATGTGATATCAAAGAAGTTCATAATGCTTTAGAGACTGTCATGTTAAATATGTCAAACACATATTGGATGAACATGTCTTGATTCAATCATAGTCATTTGTTCTTTAATCGTTGTGCTCATACATCCATAAGATACTCTTGGACTTACTTTGATTTTCATATGAAATGCAAACTTCAGATGATTTTTATATGTGTAGACGTATGATTGAATTTTTTTTGGCCCAAAATACAAATGTTTTACACATGAAATACTAGAATAATGAGATTGAGTATCTCAATATTCACATTGTTCAAGTATACACATAGATCATACATACTACTTGAAATTTTTTTTACTTTCATGAATTCATTAAATCTAACATTTTAGTGCTTAGAATCTTGCTTTAATCCATATTGAAATTGAATTGTTATAAATATAAATAAATATTACAATATATTGAAATTTTTTCTCAAAGTCAATTGGTTGTCTTATGTAGATTTTCTACTTCAAAAATTCATAGAAAAATATTGTAAGAATATCTATATGATCAAAAACCAGACCTAATATCACAAATTATGCAAATACACAATGAATTAAATTGTTGCATTTATTGCTACAACAAAAGATTTTGTTGTAGTTCACACCTTACTCTTGTGTGAAAACTCTAACAAACAATGTGTCTTTGAAATTTTTTTTAATCATTTGATGATTTGTTCTTCAACTTCTTTACTCATTTTTTATCAATCACAATTTGAGTGATTAGAAGTTTCATTAAATCCTAGGTTTTGTTATACATGAGCAATTGCATTTTATATTTTATAGCATAATTTCATTCATTCTTATTGATATAGCTTTAGTTTTTATTTTTAAATAAAAAAGAGCTTTTATTTCTTACAAGATCAATGCAATATCATCCTCATGTTCAATATCATGATCTTTAAGAACGAGTGAATCAAATTATATGACATATTTCATAAAAACTATTTTTATCCAATTTAGTGAAATCTAGTTGACAATTCTTATTGATCTATATTTTCTGGATTCAGATACTTGAGTCTCATCAACAATAACATGTTATTTTATTTTTGCTCTTCAAATTTTTTTTTCATATATACAATAGCTTTTTTTTATGTTTCATCAATAATATCATGATGATCAGTCTCTCATTTAACATCCATGAGTGAAGATTTTTTCCTTGTTAGTATGAAAAACCTGAAAATTTTCTAGCTTTCATTGATCTAGGTAATTCTAGTCATTGTAGATGTATGGTTTTGACCTCAATGTATGGTGTAGAATCTGGTTCAGTTTGTCTTTGACTTGTTTCTTCTAGAGCAAGTAGTCATCACATCCATTGTATTTGACTATACCATCTCATGATTTTTTAGATTTCATTGCCATCATCTTGGTTTGTCAAATGTGAATATGATTTTTCTTTTTTCAGCCAAATTTAGCTCTCTAGAGTGAATAATTTATTAGTGTTTCTAACTTCATGTTTGTAATATGACCCAAAATCTTCCCAATTTTATTTAAAAAAAAACTATAAACAATAAATGTATTCTAATGAATTTTGCAACACATAAGAAAAATCTCTTCAGAAAAAGTCATTGCTCCTCTAAATTATTGCTCCTCAAGAACCGTCAAATAACAAACAAACGATCAATCGTTCCAAGGAAAATTCACTCCCGCAACAAAAATCTGTTAGACCACGCACGAAACAACATGCAAACGGGCAAGATTCAAGACTACTGATAGTGCAAAGCACAATAGATTCTTTTCATATTTCTATACGTCTCGAGTCCGCACACGTTGGACTCAAAAACGAGAATGGTGAGCGGTGTGTCACTATTTATTGTACCAAACAAATATCTGCGGTTAGTCCGTATATGGATGAGGAGGAACTAGAATCATCTACAGCAACAACAAACTCAATCTGCTCCAAATTCAGTCATCTCGCGCATTGACATCTATATCGCTCTAGACCAGTCCGGCAGAGAAGTCATCTATTTCCTACGACTGGATAAAGCACGCATGACCGTTGCTATATTTCCTTGCCATCAGCTTAGCCCCTCGCTCTTGTCAACGTTTTTCCTTGACAAACGGAGGATCCTCCCAGACCTCAAAACCAACAGACCTAGATAATCTTGAGAACGATCCCACAGCCTTACGCCACGCCATAACGTCCAAGATGAAACATTCCATCCATTTATCTCAACGTCGCTGCACGGGGCACAAGTGCAATGATTGGATCATCACTTCTTTCTTTCAAATCTCAAACTTGAGTTTGTATTCTAATCACAATATAATTGTCCTCACTCGAATACATTCTTGCTGCCCATCCGTGCTTGCTGAAACGTGATTCTAGTTATAACAAATTTCAATTTCTCGCCTACAGGCCTTAGCCCTTTCAATCTGAAGTTTCATTCATTCAAAAGATTGATCTGATATCAAATGTTGTCTGTTCTCACGAAAACAAAAGCAAACACACTGCGGGCTATGTCTATAGAAACTCAGAAAAATCTTTGCTAATAAAAAGACTAAAGTGTTCGAGAAAGCTTTGGCTAGCTCTCTTATATATGAACAGTAAAATCTAAATCCTAACTAGGGTTAAGTTAGTTGAGTTCAAACAGACCTGAGTTACTGATAACAGATTAAACTTACTTTCAAGCATCAATTTAATTTTAAACACTTTTTAAATTTTTCATGTAGTATTATTTTTTTTGCTTTAAAAAAATAATCTTAATTAAGCGTAAAAAAAGTTCCAAATTTTCAAAATGTACATTAGCAACTTGAATTTATTCAACTTCTCAATTTTCATCATGATCTTCAACAATCAATGACTTGCACGGTCCATAGAAAATTACTCAAAGGCATCATTGATCGCTTTGGACCTGCAGGTCCAGAGCGATCTCACCAATTGCCTACTAGGTTCATACTCAAGATATCAGATTTGCTTGCCATGAAACAGTTTTGAAGCTATCTACTAAATGCGATTTTGTTAGTTCATCATGAGTTATGATGAACTACTACTGCATTTCAATGTGACATCAGAAGGCAACTACATTTAAGTGATATCCTCTTCCATACGTAGACTTTGTATCTGCTGTGTGCATGCACCAATGTTTTTTTTCTTCATTCGAGTATCATGAAATACTGTAGAGAATAGTGACTTCATCAGGACTTTCTGAGCCGACATTATGACCAGTATTTGAGTATCGATTTTCAGCAAATGAGGGCTGTTATGAAGTATACTGGTATCGACCTCCTGATGCAAAGAAGAAATTGGCACAGAGAGTCTTCACAATTCAGGCTGGCTTTGCGTGTTTGAACTCTGATCTGTCTTTTTCTAAATACTGCTGAATGGCTATCTCCTTCGTGACATTTCAATCTGGGAACATGAACAGCCGGTTTTCACATGCTGTGCATCTAAATAACCAGATAGAGTCAGTATATTCTCGAACTTGAAAAACTTCGAGATGTGAAAGATTGCGAAAACATGCCAATGCAGTGAGGAGACCATAATCCCGTGGACTGTACATGCTAACAGTTGTTGCTATAGTCTAACAAGCCATCGACTATGACTACATGACTATAGCTTGCGTCATGTGTAATCTCCCGTGATGGAAGTTGGGACTCACAATCGGCATAGCCAAAATGCCCTTACAAAAACAATCCCAGCTGCAGGGCAAATACTTCAATTTTTTTGTTGCCAATTCTAAGCAAAAATTATAATGTTATGTCACCGGAAAATTGGGTGAGAAGTTTTTAGCACTGAGTATCTTTGTTGCGTTGATTAAGGGTTTAGGATTTGGTTGCTTCTTTACATGACGTACAGTAGCGTTAGTAGTATGTACCTTCGCATTTTGGAAGAGGAAGAAAACTAAATCGGCACATTTAAAAACTTTTACCCTAATTTCAGTAAAAAGTAAACTCGGGACGGCCTTGAGGAACCAATTCGCTGCCAGTGGTGCCCGAGTAGTAACTACGGTGTCGAGGAGGTTATAAGGTCCCCGGAATAGCACCACCTCTTACTTCTGCCATCCTCTGGTTGAATTGCTGAAAACATGCAAACCGTCTCAGAAGGAGCTTAGCATTTGTCAAACCTGAAATGTAAGGATGATGACGCTTTTATTAACCTCAGGAACTATAGGCAATTTGATAGTATCAAACCTTCGACAAAAAATTTCATATGGCAACTGAAGTTGGAGGTCTGAAGAATATGTACATGCATCTTCAGACCATTGATACTCCTCCACAGAGCACTGTCTACCTGCAGCTCTTTTCACGTACAATTTGTGAGAACTGATTGTTTCCTCCAAGAGTTGGCAAGGATTGACACAGTAAGACTAGGGCTTCTAATTTCTGAAAGAAGATATGTATTAACCTTCATATCTGTAGCCTGGATTGAGGTTGAAGGTTTTTATGGCGATAAAGTGCTCGACGAATGAGATTCACAGAGCAGTTCATCCAACCAGGGTTCTTATTTCTGAAAGAAGCTACGTCTTGCAAGCTCCATATCTGTAGCCTGAAATGAACTTGATAGATATATGGCTATTATGAGATCACGAGGCATGAGATTCACACAGGAGTTCCCTCAAGCAGGATTGGACGTGCTCTTCCAACCTCGCCTGTAATTCTGTGTCTGAATTGTGAAACCTGTCATGTCTGGAATGAGGGACTATTACTCAAAAATTGGTAGAATTGCGAGAAAGTGTGTTCTGCAATGGTCATGTGATGCCGATACGGAGGTCTCTAAACAAGCATGGTACTTTGCGTTTCTCGCCCTGAATGTAGGGCCGGAGACTACTTGAAACCTTACACCGCATACTAGAGATATCAACCTTCAGAAAGAAGATGCAGAAGCAGGTGGTCAGTCAACTTGGACAAAAGTGTGACGAGCAGAATCTGAAATTTGAGTTACCCAGGTCAATAAGAGAAGGTCGAATAGCAACACTGTGCAACGATGAGGCGAATACTGAATGTTGCTGAAAGGGTGTTTAGACGTGCCCACAGGCTGGTATTCTCATTTCGGGAACTAAATAATTTAGAAACAAAAAATGCATGACAACACCATCAGAATGTCAGCGAGAATGATAGCCTGTGACGGTCCAAAGTAGTCAAGCAAACCACTAGCACAGTGACAAGACCAGTCTACTGATCATGCTCATCATCCACCCGTTTTACTTCCGAGCTCGTTCGTGCTTGTGTGGACCCGCATTAGCCATCAGTACCAGATCTGGAGTCCTATTTGCCTGTAGCACAATGCTTTTCAAAGGTGACGTCTCTAGGAAGCTTTTTATTGAAACCTACATCTTTTAAACCTTATCTGCCTCTTCACCGAGGTAGTACAAGGTACATTCCAGACGATAGGTGAGTTCGCACTGTTCCAAACGCAGTTTCATGTTTTCTTGTTTGAAGTGCAATCCGGATGTATCATGAAAACTGTGCATAAAATATTTTCTTGTCATATTCTGGGATATATAATGAAGTGACTTTGTGGGTCCATTGAGCTGTCAGATCGTGCAAGTTACCTGTTCAACGTGCTTTCGACGGAACCGGGTCGGATGCGCTGGTGCTCGAAAATTTTTGTACCTCCAGCGAAGACAGGCTCCATTAGTGGTGCTCCACTAAATATCAATCTCGTTTAAAGTCCTGCGGATCCAGAAGAACTCACTTACAACAAAGTGCTTGAGGCTACGTTTGAACTTTGATCACAATCTCATCCAATTAGTAAAATACCTGGGTCATATTTCGTACTCCGGATGTTTGGGGCAGATGTACATACAAGGTGGTTTTGTCTCTTATTTCTGAAGCATCACCCCGGAGGTTGTGCAATTATTTGTATAGATATGTTACGTTTGTGCGTGCATCTATGTTTGCAAATCAGGCCTCCTCTACATACACATGCGACACAAATGTTTGTGAGATCGGATATCGTCCTTCAAGATTACACCCGAGTTGGGCAATTCTCAGATCTTTCCATATCTGCAGTGTTCATGATCTCCTTATTGAAGTCTACTCACTATTATTTGAATGTAGTGTTCTGACAGACGGTGACAAGGTCAAATTGTCAAGTGTTCTATATTGTTGCTGTGACGAGATCCACAACTATCAGCTATTCTTTAAAGCTGTGGTGAGTCGGACAACATTTTCTGAAGTCCACTTGTTCTGCCGAGACATGGAAAAGATATACTCTCAATAATCAGTTGGTTTTAATTAGCAAGCCCGAATTCGGAAGGCTGTGATTGATTGGCCGAGGTTGCACATTGGGCTTGCCATGCTCCAAACACTTGCTACGACGTTATTTATGAGTTATAAACAACTTTGTTACAAAGAATGCTTCTATATACAGAGCTGGATACTGGGCACAAGGAAATTGTGCCCACGTCGAGTATCAAAAACTATACTTCCATCTCATATATTTGTCTATCTAAAGTTTGTCTATTCCGTACAGGTTAGATCTGACTGAAACAAAACTACAGGTCCAAGTAAAATTACAATGTCAGCTTTCCTGACAAAAGCCACTGTCTGAAACCAAGTCGCGTAAAATCCTCAGACCGTATCGTCCTTCGAGGTTTCCACAAACCTTTGCTCGGAACTATCAATGCCATGCCCGTTTACGGATCTTGCTTGTGGAATGAACGAGTCTCCTGGTCGTCTATTTTGCTCTAAAAGGTTCCGACTCGATGCCTTCTTTTGTTGGTGTTGACTCTTCACTGCAACGATGAGTGGTTCCAAGCGCTCGTATAACAAGATCAGGCAGTAGAGGACGAATCTGTAGACGATGGCCAAGCACATCACAACGGCAAAGTCCGTCCATTTGGAAGGGTCCTTGGTGCCATACACCCTGGAAATTAGTGCCTCCCCGTTCGAAGTCTCAGTGTTAGAGAAAGTGGAATGTTGAAACTCATTCACAACCAGCCCCTGCAGAAGAGCGTTTCACAGCTTAGGTACAGAGACACGAGGTCATCTTGTGTCAGTGACACAAGCTGTGAAATATCGAATGTACAAGAAACTGATCAAAATGTGCCTTACAGCTCACAAGCATTTGAAATGAGTGTCCCACAGGAAGAAGCAAGCCCTCAACAGAGCATTCACAGGTGAGTCTGAACAAACTTGGAGAGAAAGTGCGCAGCAAGTGAGCGTCAAGATTCTCACTTTAAACATTCGCCATTTCTCTCTACCGATCATAAAAAGTGAAACGTTAGCTCTTTGGAAGTGATGCCTGCTACTTACTCTGAGAGCGTACGTGTGGAACGACAAAAATGACAGCGGATATCTCCAGAGTGTTTTGGGCAGATCGTCCAGAAGCATGAAGAAACCAGCGACGAGTATATTTACTCCCTGAACGAGGAGTCAACATTGTTAATGTTAAAAGTGGCCAAATCATAACGCCGTCGTGGTAACCAAATCTAGTTCGCTAGTCATACGAGGCTGAACTCCGATATGGACCTATCGAAGGACTCTTATGACCAAGGATAAGGTCATTCCAACGTACCTGAACGCATAGTCCTAACGTAAGGACCATGTAACCCGAAGAAGCCAGGACTGACACTATCATCATCACACCCTCGACTGAGAGTAAGGTGGCGAAGATGCAGAGCACGAAGTAGATGAAAGGCTCGAACGCGGTTTTCAACCCCGGCATGAAATAAACAACACATCCTGACACCGTCGACATCACCAGCAGAAATGGCAAGGAAGCCAGTGTACTTCCAACCACAAATGTCGCAGCCCCATAGTGAGGGTTCAGTCTTTCACGCAACAAGAGCTGTCGACAAAAGCAGATACTACCGTCAGCTGAAATCGCCCAGGGGTACTAATCTTGTCAAATTTTTGCATTTGTCACTGTAAATTAAAAACTGTGTGAGACGTCTAAATGTTCATTGCAGATTCTGGAGCTAGAAATCAGAGGCTCAGAAGCGAGAGGAAGATCTAACTGAGGTGAGGTTAACTACAAAATTTTCGAGAAGATGTCAAGAGAAAGAGCTCACCTTGATATCTTGGTAGAAAAAAGGGGAGCCACCGAGCACGGCGACGAGCATCAAAGATTCGAGTACTACAAAGAGACAAGACACTCGTGCCTGCAGAGAATCATAATTCAAAGTGCGTGAGAAATTTGACATGCGTGAGTGAAGAGGTTTTGACAGTGGATGAGGTCATGACTGCATACTGCTGATGGAAGCTGCACAAACGACAAATTGATCTTGAAGTGCTGACACGAGATAAGAAAACTAGAAAAATTAGAATTGAACGCATGCGGACTGCTCGTCATTACACATCTCTCCCTCGAAACGTCATGAAACGTTTTGTCCCACTGTCTATCCTTCTGAACCTCAACTGTCAAGAATATAAAGAGCTTTATCCTAGTGGTTAGTTTATTCGTTAAAAACTAGTTTACTAACCCTGATGTTGCTGTTCGAATCGCCGAGGCCCGAGAAAATTGTGCCGATGAGGATCATGAGAAGAATCGAGACTCCCAGTCTCGACCAGTAGTAGCACAGATCTCTGGTGCAGTTCAAAAGTGATCGGTATGATAGGATCAGCAGCTGGTGCCAGAAATTGGCTGATCGGCCATTTGATACCAGCACGGCTCCTTTCTGGTTTCGAACATTTCACAGTCAAACGCAACGGGGATGTGTTAGAGCCAACCAACCCTCTCTGGAACGCCAAATTCATGCCACTTAACTTGGCTCTCAGTGAAAGATCGCGAATCTCCCTGCCGATTATGAAAACTTGATTATGAATCACTGATCTCATAATCACAGCCCGTCAGAGTCCACGACAAGGGCAGCACAAAGCCTCTGAAACGAGCGCAAATCGTCGCCCTGAATTTTGAAAGAAAATTCAGAAATCCGTCTACTACAGGGGATGGCGGCAGCTGAGGTCTGACTGTGCTGACCAAGAGGTTGTCGTCCTCCAATCAGTGAGAAATCAGAGAAAAACCGCAGTCGACGAATAAATCCTCACGGCAACATAATCATGACCGGGCACTGCATCCAGCTAATTCCTTCGGACATGGACTCCTCCACCAATTAGGAAGAAGGAATATCTGTGGCAAGGGCCTCGAAAGACGTAATTTTGTACTGGCATATTTAGGGTTACGAGCAGCAATAACTCCAACGGCATGATGCCGGGATCCCGTCGCCATAGATGAGAACTCTGCAGAAGGACTGCTCCTTCCTCGTGTGTGCGGCCTATGATTCGGCTGAGGGAAGGCTTACAACATCTGGAACTGTTGCTGGAGCCAGGCTGAGAGGACTCGCTCCAGCAGAGTCCGTTGTGCTCTCATAAATCGAATGCACTGTGTGCACAGGGAGATAATGCTGAGTGGGCCTTTTTCTTTATTCCCCTACGTGCATCTGTTCATGTTCATGACTGGGCGGGGTGCCTAATATAAATGCTTTACGTTGGGAACTGAGCTTCAAGCCGACATTGCACGAGAACATTCTCACACTAGTGCCATGCGATGTAATCTGCTGTGCTCTACCTTTTTGGCAAGTTCACACCGTCGGAGGCTCGCTCTTGTGGATATAGGCGAGTTGGCATAGAAAGAGGCAAGTGCGCGCACGACTTGAGAAGTCTCTTCTCGGAACAGCAGCTCCTTCTTCTCCGGATCCTGCCCATAGAAACACTTGTCATTGATTTGCATCATCTTTGGTCCGAAAGTAACTACATAAGTGTAGACAATGTTCAACGAGACCGACCCAGCAGGAAAATTACTACTCGACCTCTCTCTCTCTCTCTCTCTCTCTCTCTCTCTCTCTATATATATATATATATATATATATATATATATCTCTTACCACGGGATCAGGTGGATTGAAGGTGCAGGAAATCTGATCCTGTGGTCAGTGCGGAATCAAATACGCACATAGTGGGACCCCCCTTTCATTATTTGATGCACAGAGAGGACTTATCGTATGCACTTGAAAGAAGAGAGACTGAAATTTAAGCAGCCAAAAGATGGAAATTGTGTGAAAATTTCAGCAAATGAATCGACGGGAGAAACTGAAGCCTACTTGAACGCTTGAGAGACTGGCTTTCACTTCATCATAAGCAGGATCTAGAGTGCGCTGGAAGTGTTCTGGAGCACTGTAGCCTTGTGGGCACGGATATCCTGACCTTGCAAATTGCTGCAATGTCATTTCAACAGCAATGTCAGCTCATCGACAAAACAGAAACAATAAAATTGACGAGTAAAATAAGCTGTCTGAAAGCCACAGAGCTGGATGGTAGTCTTTTCTTTCAAGAAATAACCAGAAATGCTCAAGGCAGTGATCGTGAACTAACCTCCTTAGCAGACGATGCCTCGCCGAAGTACACCATTCTGCCCTTTCCGAGCAGAATCAGATCATCGATGAGCTCGAACGAATCAGTACTGGGTTGCCGAAACGTCGCTATAATCGTTCGCCCGTCTTTTGCGAGGCACTTCAACCTCGCCATCAAGCAGAGTGCACTGGCGCTGCGTGGAGAACACGAGGAACATAAATTAGCTTCGGATCCATCAGTGGGTCTGAGGACACTGGATTATAAGAACTTTAAACAGAATGCTCAATGCCGTGAATACAATGGCCATCGAGAGCTACCTATCCAGTCCACTGATGGGGTCGTCCAGATAGACGAGGTGGGGCCGCATGAGAAGCTCTAATGCTATGGAGAGCCTTCTCTTCTCTCCATCGTTGAGGCCCGAGCGATGGAAAGTGCTGCCCACCCGCACAGCAGCGCACTCTCGCAGTCCCATTTCCTCAATTGTGCACTCGGCAAACGCCATTTTCTCCTGGTGTGTGATGCCTTCGGGAAGTCGGAGCAACGCCGAGAGGTACACCGTTTCTCGAACAGTCAGCGTACCCACCAGGACGTCATCGTTCGATACATAAGCCTGCACATCCACAACCAGAAGCATTTTCAGTGTTCATCGGACGAAATACGGCATGAGCATTCGGCCAAACCAACAGCAATTGGCCTGCTCTGTGCCATTGGCAGAAGTCACGAGGAGATGAGCATCGAAGTTCCTCACAGCAGTTCCGTATGTAAGCTGCTGTCGCCTGCCATTAAGGAGAATCTCGCCTTCGTAAACTGCGTTCTTCGTCAACCGACCTGCTCAGCCAATCACAGAAATATTCAGAGCAGAACTTTCGTCCTCGTCGAGGCGTCAGACTATTCTATAATCTACAATTCTAAAATGAATCCAAGTTGCATACAGGAGCTCCACATTGCTACAAGGTCATTCTATCAGATGAATGAAGCACATTTTGAATGTTGTTAGTTGGAAACATCGTGTTCATTATACCCAGCACAGAGCTGACCTCCTTTGGAAGGCGGGATTGCTCACTCCATTCGGCTGGAAAGCTGGCGAGGACAACGTCGTCTCCCATTTTTACATCCAAACGATCGACAGGACAGCATTCATTTGAAAGAATATAAACGACCATTAAAGTTTGAGCCTGCTCTACCACGTGAAGGTATCACAGCCTTGCCGAATACTAGATTGGTGCTGCAAAGGAGCCGCAGCTGCGTTGGGACTAATACTCAATTGGAACGTAAGAGTGTCAATGTTCATCAGGTGAACCTGTAGAATGATTCAAGGTAGTCTGCTGGTACATCCAAGAATTACGTCCACGAAGAAATCAATTTGATTCTTCAGCACTGCCGGTTCTGCAAGTAATGTCAGCGAGTACCTGAACATTCATGCACAATTCTCGTTCGACTCGCTAGACAGGCAGGAATAGGCACGAGAGATACCTGCGAGGGTGTCGAGCAGAGAGGTTTTGCCAGACTCGCGGGGGCCCATGATGCCGAGAATTTTGGTGGGCTCAGCGTAGCCGGAGACGCTGTCGATGACCACACGAGGAGCGCCTCGGACTTGCACCGTAACCTTCAAGTCCTTGAACGTGAGAGTTGCGGTACGCGGACCAGAGGTGCTGCTGCGGCTGCCATCGAGAGGACTGGAGAGGCTGGTGGACGTAATGGACAATCCCGACAGTCCCGTGGACGCCGATCGTCGGAGATCTTTGGGAGTTTGGTCCGTCACGGGAGAAGACAGCGGGCTCGGCGACATTTGGTACTGGAAGTCTCGCAAGGGCCGCATTTCCCCTGGACTCGAAGCATGCCCCGACTGATCCCCCATTGTGAACCCCTCAGAGTGTCCACGACTGACTCGAGCTCGTTCCTCCTCTGATGACAATCGTGACGATGTGAAAAAATCCGCTCAACTGCAGAATTCTGTGATATTTCTTCCACTGCCTCGCTTTTGAAATGCGTACTCAGTCCACGATTGATAAACCGAAATGAGTCCTCTCAACTTGTGATTTCTTGCGTGGGATCCATCCCTTGGAACATCGAGGAATACTTCGAATGCCGGACCTGGAGCTGCTTCGTTTGAGTGACTGCTACCAACTCAATTTGCGCTGCGAGACCGGTCGCTCGCACATACACAGCTCGAGCTCAGGAGCGAGCGATTCCGAATTCCTCGGTGACGGCTGCGGACATTGTGGACATGGAAACAGGAGGAATTTGTGGCTGGACTGAGATCTCAGGGATGAGCGGATGGGCAGACGCAAGCCGGTCAATTTCGGCTGGAGGGGGATGAGTTTTGCCGATCCGAAGGCAATTAATTGCGTGGAGGTGAAATCAAAGCCCGAACGTGCTACCACTGCTCCTCGCCTGCAGCCATTGTCGCGCAGCTTTTAAGATTCGCCGCTCGCGTCCGAGAGCTCGGACACACCACTCGCGGCTGCTGCGTGCGGATTTCACAGGCCCGGGAGGCGATGATTTACCTCGATTACGAGCGTCGCCGCTGCCGACCACATCCGCGACCCCCGACAAAACTCACTATTGCAACATGTCGCAGCTGCAAAAGGGCCTTTCTCGTGGCGTTGGCCTGCCAAATATTGAGCCAGCCGGGCCAAATCCAAAAAGAGCAGGAAGCCCCGGCCTCAGCAGCAGCTGCATGCAACGAGACGACAACGAAATCTGTCTGGACCAACAACGAGCGCAGTAGTAGCAGCCAGCAGGTGCTCCGTCCGCGTAGCCTTTGAAAATTCCACGGCGTCAGCAGGCGGTCTATGGTAGGCTCTACACAGCTCACAAGCTGCGGCCATGCCACCAGCGCCACCAGCACCACCACTCTAGGCCTCCCTCCCCCACGCACTGATTCCGATTCCCGACGACCACCCTCGTTATGGAAAGCCCGCCCCGTCCCCGCGAGCTGCACAGACGATTCCACCAGAAAGCCAGTGCAGTGATTCGGGATGGGAAGCTCACTCTCTCACTCTCACTTGCTTCCCTTTGTAAATTCGAGTGGACTCAGACAAAGTCACTGTGAGGAGCTTCTTACTCACGGACCCAATGCATCCGATCGCTAAATTCCAATCCGGCCGTAAAGATCGGGGCCGGGCGAGTAGAGCGGAGGCGATGAGATGAACGCATTATCGGACAGCGGTAAAGATGGAAGATGCAGTAGCGCGAAAATGATTGCGGGGCCTTAAATTCTCCGGTCAGAGACGGGGAAAATCGTTGAGCTGACGGGAGGGGGCGTTACAATACAATATTGCACTTCGTCGCTCCCTTGGCCTCGGCGAGCGGCCCGTAGACATCTATCAATCTATCTAGACCCGGATGGAGCACTCGGCCCCGAATGGATTCTTCTCCCTCGTGCAGCGCTCGGTCCTGAGAGAGAAATGTCCTCCTTGCCGTGCCGTGGTAAACTCATTCTGAGCTCAGAACGGTAGCTTGGGGCTGGGCAGGGCCGTTTGGCATGCATGCATCGGATGGGCATCGGGCATGCTCGGCAGCGCACACTGAGACTGCTCCATGTGATAAAATCATACAAAGTCTGGCATGGCGCAGTGCTGCTGCAGCACCTACGGAGCTAGCTTGCGGGCAGGGGTGCAGGGATGCAGGCAGTCAGGCAGGCAGGCAGGCAGGATGACGATGAGATGAATTTCCCCACGCAGCCTCGGCCTAGATGCTAGCTGCCGTAGGCTCCTGCTGGAGTGTGCTCGGAGGACGAAGGATGGTGCTTGGCTGATGCTACAATGCCTAGTGGGCCTACCGTAGCGCGAGCTGGCTACCCATAGCCTGCGCAGCAAGAGGATCGGGGCAGAGAACAGCAGAGCAAGTGCAGGCCTTGTATCAGAGTTGGGAGAAGAGAGAGAGAGAGAGGGAGGGAGGAGGAGGAGGAGGAGAGCGCAGACTCACAGACGAGAGTCGAGTGAGCTCAGTGAGGACTGGAGGCAAAGAATCTGTCGAGTCCAGCTTCTTCTTCCATCCCTCTCTTCGTGTCTTCCCTTGCGTCTTCTGTCTGTCTCCCTGGTCTCCTGCTGCTCACCTGCTGCAGCAGATTCAGAGGGTGGACCGGGTGGGAGGCTGGGAGGAAGTTGGAGGTTGGGTTCCGTGCCTACGAGAGCAACACACGCATCACAAGTTCGACCGTCGAGACAGAAATCGGTCACCGACAACCATAAGGACCAGCGAAGACTCAGACAGACGAGGACGGAGGGCAGGAGCTTGTGGGAGGGGAAGGGGGAGGCGAGACGGACAGACTGGAGACGATAGAAGATTGCAGCAGATCTCACAATTGGCTGTTCATGCGACAGCCATCTGATGCTGAGCGAGAGGATGCTCTAGACGACAAAGCCTAGGTTCTGAGCTTCTGGCCGACCATTCATCAGACGCCAGTAATTTGTACTTCCGCGCGATGTCATTTTGTATTATGTCGCAGACGCAAGTAATAGCATTTGGACGCTTCTCCCTGTCCTCTTCTTTAATGTACTCCAACTACAAACCCTGTCTCACTACTACTACTTCTACTTGTCCGTCTCTGCTGGAGCCATACAAACAGGATAGAAATGACTGTCATGGACCTTGTTTTCTATCCTTCTAGAAGCTCTGCAAGCTTTCCTGCGGAAGTTTGAACACTCGTAAAGCATTCTGAGACTTTGACTCGGAGTTTCGAGGAAAGAAGATGAATCCCTGGGAAATTCACCTAATCTATTACTTGAATCGCTAATGATATCAACCTTGAGTTTGGAGGCTTCCTTACCAAATTCAAAAGAGGGACATGGTTCCAGTTAATATCTGCATATCAAAGCCTTCGAATAAACACAGTTTGTAGTTTGTAGTATAATCGTATTCAAACGTTGTGTTGGAAAAGCCTGAGATGAAATCAACGCAGAGACGCACTTCCTCGTAGCCATATCCGAGTCATTTCGGCCACTCGTATATTAAGCTGCCAAAGTGTACTCCCTCATACCACAGAGCATCGACAGTAGCTTGTTCAGCCTGCGCTGGCCGATGTTATTATGTGCTGCTTGGATTGCGGGACGTGAAATTTTATCAATCCGAGGGTCAAAAATATTTTGAGGGGCCAATTGCACCGGAGAGGCTAACATCTATCGTGAAGTTGCACGCAGCTTGGAGCTTTAGTTTAGAGCTCAGAGACGGTGGTGGAGTCAAAGTCTCCACCTCCCTTGCCACTGCCTCCGTTCAGAATCTCTGAAGTAACTTCAAAACAGACTGAAACGACAGCCGGGAATAGATGTTGAACGGGCACTTTACCACCAGGTTGTCCTCCTTTAAGACATGCCAGTGGTGCAATTTGCTGTGGAAGCGAAGGAGACACAGAGATATTTTAGCTCCATAATCACGAGGTCCATCACTAAGCACCTACGGTGTTCATGCGACATGCAAAATTGAAAAGTTTTCACTATTTTGTCAAGGCAGTGGACATGCTGGCATCAGTTTCTCACTTTAAACTACGTCTACTTCCCAAACCTGGTCAGATAGCGAAGTAACTTTTACTGTGTTCGGCCTAGTCGACTGTGTTGTCCTCATTCTTTTCTACAGAATAGAGTGTCTTCTTCGCCTTGCTCGGTGATCTTCGTACCAACCGTGCCCGCTTGCACATGAGAGTGGTGTGAGGAGAGATTTTGTGAGTTGGGTATGAGGGAGTAAATCGCTGGATTGCTTTGAGACCGTTCACGGTTGTCTTTATTGTGCTATGATGATGACTTTTACATTCTTCAAAAAGAATGTAGTCTCATAACGGTGGAAAAGCAAGGTTTTAAATATACAATATTTCCTTCCGTGCTGCCAATATTCATGCTTCATTTCACAAACCAGGATCCGAATATCTCTGCTATCAGTCATGATGGAAAGCTGGAAACTGAAGGTAGAAGATTCCAGCCAGGAAAAACATTCAACATAGAGAAAGATCAGACTTTTAGAGGGACCCTTTGTCTTCTGGACACTGGACTGCTTTCCACGATTCCACATCCGCATCATTAGCGCCCCATCAAAGACCTCCATCGATAGAACGCCTTACACAATGAAGTTGAGCGCATGTGGAGAAGAAAAAGCCCGGAATTCACAAAGAGTTTCCCAGAATCTTTTGGCTGTCAGACTCAAGTAAATCCCGATGATGTCCTGAGCTTTACCGTTCGATCTGGTATCATTGATCTAACCCGTCCATGGTCTGATCCAGTGGCTTCTATTCAGCACCTCCTTTTCGTTGTCTCTGATGTCCATCCCAAGGACCATCTCATCTCCAACAGTGCCCTAGTGTGTTGGGACGAGCGGCCCCACCTCCTCGCTGCCTGGCAGTCCGGTGCTTTTCGCTGTCCTGGTTTTATCCACTTTGAGGTCATCGGCCGTGGGTTCTAAACCTCACGACCAAGCTTTATAAGCTCAGTTTTATAAGCTGAGATCAACGTAAATACTCTTTCAAGAAAATTTGTCAACTATAGAATGAGCTAGTCTTTGAGGAGCTACAGGAGATTTACGCCAGAAAGTCAAAACTTCGAGCATCTTACTACTTACTTGTTTATCCATCTTACGAGCATGGTTAAACAATTCATGTACATCAACTACAGAAAGATGAGAAAGTTGAGTTTCTTTGCACTCTAGGCAACACCTTTCTTCTGGACCCATATAAGGAACCAAGATTGGCAATTTCTCAAAACTTTACTTGGAACAGATATCTCGATGTGAGTAACTGCCTTGAACTTATATAGGGATATGAGTAGTTAAGCATTGGGCGAAGTACATATGGGCAAGAGATACAAAAACCACCTTATGTCAGTTTGTATTATGTGCCAAGCTTGAGACAAAGCCACTCCGAAGTCGTACCATATGTGTTGTAAGGTTGCCACTCAAAATAATATCTGATTCCAATTTGTTCTTTGTCCACCCAATTCAGAATAAGACACTGGATTGTGAGCTGCTTGTGATATTGCACTAGAATCTAAACAACTTGTGCTATACAACAGGCCAGGATGGTCCACCCATCATGCTAGGGGCATGTGAAAATATATCCTTTAGACAAGACACAGGAACACACCATATCGTATGATGAGAATTCGATTGCATGCTACTTTAGCTCCTAAAGTAGTAACGGCATTCCACGCCATCTAAACAGAAACATATGTCATTCAATAAAATCTTCATGCAAACCGTTCACATCAGTTTCTTTGCCCGTGGTTTTCACGTCAGCAATATGTGCATAATCCCATCTTCCGTTAAAGATGAGGCTACATAGAAAAGAAAAAGAATTTCATCTCATTGGATCATCAAAACTACTTCTATCCATGCCATAAATATACGGTCAAAATCTATTTCACTTTCCCCTCCCTATCTCTATTCTCTAACTTTCCTACATAACAAACAAAATGTGTGAGCTCTCTACCCTGGATCATCATTCTGTACACGTTGTTCTGAGAATGATTGTCCAGGCTCCGAGGAGGAGAGTCAATAGCTATGCCGTGACCACATTGTCTAGTGGATGACCACAGCTTGTGTACGTGTTAGGGTGCAATTAGATTATTGTAAATAAGAGCTCTCAGGTAGTCTGTTGGTATTGACTGCTAAGCAAGTACACTTGTCTTTCTACGAACCGGTGCCTCCGTCGTTGTGTGAGGTTTAGGTGTACGCCACAGACCTACTCCAGAGTCCCAGAGACTCGTCCCAGACGGCGGTCGGAAATCAGCTGTCATCGAGTAACATCTCATTGAAGGCTTTTCACCGGCCTATCCAGACGTACAAAAAAACACTGACCACTTTTGTCATGACAACCGAGCTGTGAGACAGATGTTCACCACATTATTGAATAGCAGTCATGTGCTTCCAGCCTTTCCTCCTTATTTTTTCGTGCAAGTGACAGCCGAAGATTTTCTGGTTTCTTTACCGTTGCATAATAAACTGCTGCGGCTCTTCCTTGCACTCCAGATGCAAAGAAATGCATCTGGTGTTTGGTTCAAGCAACCCTGATGATTAAAATGTGTCCGTGATGTGCTTAAATGTTGATAGAATATTTCAGTTGAGCTTGTCTGTAATAAATGACAAGAAAATTTCGTCTTCTGTAATGCAACTCTTATTCATGCTGCAGTAGTAGATAAGACCTCACATCCATGTAAGCACTGAACATGATGTGCTTACATCTTTAAGGAAAAAGAGCGGTGTATCCTTACGCTCCAGATGCAAATCTGATTGCGGAATGGAATTACCTCGTGGTGTGCCTGGACATTTTATATGTTCTATTATACGTGGTTTTCTTCTTTCTGGAAAGGAATTTCATCAAGACCTTGAAATTTTCTTACAAATTGGCTACGCGAGAGAAAACATCACATTAAACTGCTTGGTTACATATCAAATCTTAAGAGGTGAATCATGGCAGCATATTTCTTTCACCGTCTTTGCTGTACGTGCTGTACACCTACACGTATAGTGTTATAGTTTCATGGACCTCTGTGATGTACAGAGACAGCAGTTGGACAATCTTTCGGGCTTCTGTCCCCGAGTCTCTATTTAGTCCTCGGAAATTTGCTATGATTATCCAAAGTTCAGCCGTTCCAACCATTTCAGACATGGTAGATCTTTTCCAACAGAAGATAGCTACGATCACGCTACTTATACAGAGTGTATAGTACCACGTTCATATACTGCCACAGTAAAAGCCCTGGACTCAGCAGTACCTTCGAAATGTGACCATTTTCACATTCAGTTCAGTAATTTCAGACTGCCCTGCCTTGCCGTGAGTGATACTTTATTGAGGGTCAGGAGGTTCTTGTCTGATAGCGTGGAAAAAAATCTCGTGATGATGAAGAAGAGGGGCCGCTGTGTTTGTCCCTTTATGTCATGGATTCGCGAGTGATCGATCACCCACTCTTGATTATTTTGTTAAAATTTTCATTCCAGGCGCAAGCTCAGTTGTCCCTTAGTCGTGATTGTGAGTTTGAGAGTATGTTCATCTCGAGTCTGGATAGGATTTAACTTTTTTCTAATCAGTATTCTTGCGCCTTCCTTCGAAAATTTGTGCACTTGTGCACTTGGGGGGGAGGGGGGTTTCGTCTCTGATACGTTCAATTTTATTGATATGGGAAACCACGTGACCTCATGTACTGGGGGACGATCCTCGTAATGAGATATGCCTGTCATGAGGGACACTTGAGAATCACCAACTGTAGTGGTCACACAGTACATCCGTTGCATGCACTTGCGGCGTGGTTTGTTCTCGAAAGTACGAAGGTTGTGTAAGTGTCGCACTTGCCACATTCTCTTTGCTATTAATCTCTTCGACAACTTTCTGTACATCTCCCGAAGTGTCTGATGTGCTCTTTTAAGAGTGTCTCCAAAGTTGCAGCAATCCTGTTGGTTATGAACCTCGAAGCGTCGCAGA